GGTGCCGCTTCTGCTGGCTTGCCTCCAACCTGTGTCACAAGAGAATCAACTCTTGCCGCTGGTGTGGCGCGATCCATTGAAACTTGTAGTCAGGTAGGCCACCCCAACACCTTCTGGTTCTTGTCGTTCGTCACCTTACTTTCACTGGTACTCGATTCGTCCCCAGCTCGTCATGATGGAGAGCGCCGATGCAGCCACGATCGCCGATGAAAACTTGAAAATGAGGGTTGAGGTCAGGTTCCTTCTCAAGATCGAGGTCTCGTTGAATATCTCGTCGCTCACACGTCCTCTTCGCAGATTCACTTCCCCGGGGCGGAAGTGAAGCAGTTCACCTTCCCTCAGTACTACACGGTGGACAAAGTCAAGGTGAGCCTTCGCATTTTTGTTCAGCGTAGTGTCGCCTGGCGTATTGCTCACCCCCCCCCCCTCGCTTCTGGCGTGTCACAATGTCGCTGTCACAGACCGAGATCTTTCGTAACATGTCAATGCTAAACGAGTCGATGAAGTTTGATTACCACCTCGGTCTGGACGAAGAGGTGACACCCCCTCAACAATAACTAACCACTCCGATCTCACCCTATATTGATCGCATGACGCAGACCGCCATCAAAGTGGAGTTCTCCAAACTCGTCAAATGCCACCCCTCCATTGAGGCGCAGGCCGCTGCAGACGAGGTCATTTCGCTCTATCTCATCGCCCGCGCCAGTGCTTCCAGCTCTCCAGACACCAGCAAGGTCTCCTCTCTCTCCTTATCTTTCGCACTCCACCGGCTTCCTCTTTGAGCTCATATTCCCGCCTGCGACGCGACAGAAGCAACTGTTTCGCAGCCGGTTCTTGTTTGGTGGGCGGACGGAGGAGGTGCCGTCAGTCGCAGTCTCGCCGCGCAAGGCCAGCATTTCGGACGGCACCTCACTGGTGGCCAAGCGGGCGAGCGCCTTCTCCGGTAAGTCGACGCCCACACTAATATGGCCCTCTTGTCGTGTCTAACGTCCTCGGCCCTGTCCATCCAGCAGTGCCGAACGAAGAGTGCCTTAGCCCAGGCCGAGGACGGCCCAAGGCGTACGTCACTGCAGATCGCCCCTGCGCGGTGGCTTCTCTGTTAACACAGTTGCGTCCATGCAGAGCTATGCTGTCTCCGACCTCGGTGCGATCAGCCCTCAACCAATCGGACCTCGAGGAGGAAGGGGACGACAGCAAAGACAAAGACGGCCGCATACAGCGTACCAACTCGTTCGGCGAACGAATCAGCCAGATCAAGAGCCTCAAACAGATGACCGCCTCAGCGGGTGCCATACCACTCGAGGACTCCAAAAAGCATTCGCTCAACAACAAGTCGATGAACGCACGTACGTCCCATCGCCGTCTTCCGTTCCTAGAACGTTGCCTTCATTCACAGGGCTAGTAACATGGACTGATTCGTTTATTGTTTGTTTGTTGGCTACTCTCAGCCGAGGCCGTGCGCCGGAGTGGTGGCGACGGAACGGGAACGCCGAAGAAGGGGCACAGGAGGACACGATCCACAGGCTTCATTGTCTCTGAAATTCTCAAGCGGGCGACAACCGACGACGTCGGGAGGTGCGTCTGCTCACGATCTTTGTTTGGATTCACCTTCGAATTCGACTGATCGACGAATGGTGCCACCATCAGGGCTGGAATGGCAACGCAAGCCATGATTCCGCCCAGCCTGGTAGTGGAAGAGGAGAGTGAAGAGAGTGGTCTGTTCAGCCGAAAACAATCCAAACGATCATCTACCGTCTCTGCAAGGTACTAGCTAGCTTATTGTTGGGTTTTCTCCATCAGCTTTGACAGTGTCTAACATTCCGGTGGCCGGTTTGGTGCAGGGTCAGGGCTGCTCATCAGATCTTCCGTGCCACTACGCAGCCGACGCTTGGTCGGCCTGAGGATAGAGAGCCCTTCCCGCCCAAGAGAGTTCCGCTGACCGACGAAGAGGTACCGAGCCACTCTCATCAATGGCCCAGACGTCGGTGCTGAACTACGGCCAATGTTCCTTTCGCTGGCGTATGATTGCTGGGTGCAGGAGCAAGTGGGCAACGCGTTGGTGAACGTGGTGGAGGGCTACATGATCGAAACGGGCAGGCGCACGGTCACGCCCGAGTTGGCCGAGAACACAGTGTACAACCCCGACCTCAGTTACACGTGGTATGTGGACTATTTCAAGGGGAAAGGTACCATCACCCCCTCCCCCCAAAACTCGCTTGGTTTCGACTAAGCCACCGAGCTCATCTCTCTCCCCCTCAAACCACACCACCGTACATCAGAACACGAAAACTACATCGGCTCCGATCTCGAGTTTGGCACGGTGGTGGTTTCCATCATTCACGAACAAGACGAAGGGCACAAAAACATCAGGGCAATCATTCGGACAAAACACGTACGCACCTCTCACCACAAAGCGGCTGGCTGCGGGTCCTTGCTGACGCATACATTGCCCTGCTCATGAATGGAACGCATCGCCGCCTGTAGTGCGACGTGACGAGTCTGATCCCCAAGGCGGACTTTGGGACGAACACCTTCAAGAAGACGTCGGTGCGAGAGATCGTGAGGACGGCGTGCCCCGCCCTGGCCGACAAGTTGCCCAAGGTCAACTACAAACTAATCAAGAACCCGGCCTTGCACCTGGAGCTAGAAAATTTTGAAACCAAACAGGTGCCCACCCCTCCACTGTGGTGCTCCCTCTCCGCCTTGATGCAAGGGACTGGGCTCATGGTTGAGTTGTGGCGTGAACGAGCGCAGGTGATTAAGAACTATAAGATCGGCGTATTGTATTGTAAAGAAGGTCAGTCCCAGGAAGACGAAATGTTTTGTAACGGTACGCACCTGTTAAGCAATGCAGCGTGCGCGCGGGCTGGTGAGTCCGGCGGCTGACGCGTCTCTGTGGCGTGGTGGCGCCACAGAATACGGGAGCGAGGCGTTTGAACAGTTCCTGGACTTTTTGGGGGATCGGGTTGAACTGAATGGGTGGAAGAAGTATCGGGCAGGCCTTGATGTAAATGGTACGCAGCCAATCACCTTCAACCGCTGTGCGAAGCCGTGCGCCTTTTCCCACAATTCGTCTGCGCAGGTGGCAGCACGGGCACTCATTCGGTGCACACACAATGGAACGGGGGCGAGATCATGTTTCACGTGTCCACCCTCCTGCCCTTCACGCCAGGCGATCCCCAGCAGGTTCGTACCTGTCCTCTCGGCTCGTTGATGAGTATACTGACGCTGACGGAATGTGGTGGAATCGAATCGACCCAACGCACACAGATCGAGAGAAAGCGCCATTTGGGCAACGACATCCTCATGATCGTGTTCAAGGAAGGCAACGGGCCTCCATTCTCTCCCAACACCATCACATCCGAGTTCAATCGTACGTTTACACTTTTTATTTTAGTTTTTGGTTATCATTGTTTTACAATTAATTGTCAATGACATTGCTTGGTAATATCTGGCAATGCAGACGTGTTCGCGGTCATAACGCCCACGGAGATAGACGGCAGCGACTTGAGGCTGAGCGGTGGCACCACGCCACGGCGACTAGCCGCCGACGAGGACGAAGAGAGTCCCCGGTCCAACCGCTTCACGGCCAAGGGTCCCGCTGCGGCCGCGGCAGCAGAGAACAAGTCCAAAGCGGCGCGCATGTCGCGCTCGCCGCCACGAAGACGGAAGCAGGACAACGCCATCTCCAAGGACAAGGGCTCGCGCAAATCCGTCATGACGCGGTCGCCCACAAAGAAAGACAAGGAGGTGGCCTACAGGTACGACGACCGGAGCCACGCGATTTTATGCTTTGTTTCCTCGAGATGTGCGTGCAGTTTCACTCACACGTGTTGCGTGTGTCGTGCGGTGTGCTTGAATGTGTGTGTGCGGTGTAACTTGCGCGCACCCTAGGGTGGCGATCACGCGCAAGGACGGCGTACCGTTGTACGGGCCGCACTTTGAAGGCGACGTCTTCCCTCGGAACCAGCAGTTCAGGGACTTCCTTTTCTATAAACGTACGTGGGACCGCTCCTTCCATGTTCCGCTTTGCGCTTCTTGCCCCTCACGCCATGCTTCTCATCACACTCCCTTTGTTTGGTAACTCGCTTGGGCGCAGTGACCAATGGTGAGCGTGCGGCCTACGACGCGCCTATCTTCAACAGAAAGGTAACCCTCTTTGTCTTTCCTGGTGGGCACCGGCGCCCAGGCGGCTGACACCTTTGCTTGGTGCGCATGAACAGATGACGCGAGTGCGCGCGGAGCTGCTGAAGCACTTGGAGAAGACGTTCGCGTGAGTTGGGTCCACGTTAGCCACGCTAGGAAGTGTGCAACAACAACTAAAACAAACAGTTGACCAACCCAAACAGAGCACCCGGCGAGAGTAGCCCGGCGCTATTGAGAGTGACCGGAGGTGTACTCGAGAGTCTCCTCCTAATACGTTGCCCTCGGGTTCGCTTAAAAAGCAGCTAGGACCTCAAATGGTGGTTGCAGGTGTAGTCCTGTTCAGCGCAACCGATGGCCTCTCCCAGCTCCTTTGTAGGCTTCCTATCGACCAATCAGCGCGCGTAGCCTGGAGGCCTTGGCCAATCACAAGCCGGCATATCGGTTGCCAGGGGCACTGCCAAGCCTCGTGTCAAGGGTGCGGTGAGAATATAGGAAAGAAGGGAGCGAGAGAACCACAAAGCACCACCAACCCAACACACGAACAACCCACCTTGACCTTGGCATGCTGGTGGCACGACCGACCACTCAGCACCACTTGTTCCCGGTGCGTACCATGATGAAGGACCAGCGCGGACCACGCGACGAGCACCACTGCGGCCTGCACCACCACGGCTTCACACACGAGTTGATGATGCAGGAGGCAGACCGTCGGCCTCGCTCCAAGTCCGCCATGACCACTTCGAACACGACCTCCTCTCAATGCATATGCCAGGAGGAGGAACTGGAGAGAGCGAAGTGGAGAGAGCTCAACGAGCTGTTGGAGCACTACATCAACTCGGGTCGCATGACTGGCCCCTGGCGAGAGCATTGGACCCACACGTACGCCCCCCCCCCTCTACTCCCGCAGGTGTCACAGAAAGATGTTTGGCTGATGCACACACGCAGGTGGACTGTGGACGGTAACGCCATGCGCTTGTCCACCATGTCGCCCATCCCTGAAGAAGGCGAATGAGCTCCACCTCATTCACCACCTACTCCCACGTGGAGTTCCTGTACATGCTTGTAGAGCTGTTTTTTATCATTTATTTATTTGTTTAACCGCCCACACACGATCCACCTCCCACCATCTTCATCTTCCTATTCATCCCCTTCACCTCCTGAATACAGACACGACAATAAATACAGACACGCACACTCCACAAATGATCTCCTCCCACACCTGACCACCTGCACCAGCAGCGGCTAGACGGAGGAGAGTTGATATGTGGAGAGGAATGAAGTGTGTACCTATGGTCGAAGGGTCTCTCCGCCGACTCTCTCAGAAGGACCCGTCGAGCACGAACGAGCGGAAGAGAAGGGCGAAGGCGATGACGGCGACGAACTTCCAGTGATGGAGGTTGGCGTAGAGCACTCGGTAGAGCGTGTGGGCGGCGATGATGTGCAGCTTCACGCCGAACGCGATCATGCACGACGCGGCAGCTGCAGCTCCTACCCGCAGCAGGAACGCCAGCAGCTGGGCCAGTTTGCCTGTCGCATTGCGATCAACGCGATGAGAGGG